CCCTCCCGCGCTAGCCTAAGGGCCACCTTAGCAAAGCGCATCCCAGGCTGCATAGCCGCACTACCCTACCCAACCATACCACACATAAACATGACACTACCCCCGGGGTTTACACAGACGAGCCGGCGAAGCAAGAAGAGCGCCAGAAGAAAGGGCCCTAGCCGGCGGGGCCCAGCCAGGACAAAAGGAGGTCCCACAAAGCGCCTACACCGGCCGCATTTGCGGTCGGGGTAGACGACGGATGGGGCCCACCTACGAAGGCTGTCCAGGCCTACACGAGATGAGGCAGGATAAAGAGGGATAATCCCCCTCGATCCCAAATCATTGAGGCCAATTTCTAGCCATGGAATAATGGCGATTCATAACTTTTCAAAAACATTGAATTAAGTTCTATAATTGTTAAATGTAATCAGTAAACGTTCTAAATTTTATCCACCCACTCGTAAACACATTTGGGCACAAAAACACATGTTATTTCCCAATAAAAATAGGTGATAGTTTTTAATTCAGGGAAAGGTGGGGGTCACGTAAATAAAAGATAAATAGCTGGTACTAAAGTTTGGAACGCTGGAAGTACATGTTAGGGTTACAATTTGCTTCAAATCGAAATTCGGCATTTCGTTGATGACGTCATCTTATGATAGAATAAATTTTCAAATGCAAAATATATTAAGTTACTACTTCAAGTAGATTGTAAGCAGCACTTAATACAAACAATGCAATCGTAATTATCTGCAAACCGAATTTAAGAACAAAGAGCAGGTTTTTCAGTTGTAAACCAACAGTTGTTCTGAATCTGAAGAACCATATTACTGCAATGCACAAGAAAAATTGTTACGTCAATTTTTTCTAGCATTCCGTAATGTAGAGAAAGAATTATAGGCGATACTTTACATTCATGTTGTTCAGGTAACAGAAGAAGAAGAGCAGTAACTATTCGATGTTTTCATTGAGGTTAAACAACCAACACAAGTTACGGTTTTATATTTACATTTCAAATAAAATTGTTGCAATGACTGGTGTTCAAGAAACTTCGTGTAAGCTTTGTCTCAAAACTGTAGGCGTTGAAGGTTTTGAGGTAATAAACGACGTTACTAGAGACATTTTAGATGTTCTTTTGCTGAAATTGGTAAGTTATATGTATCTATTAGTTCAGGGTCGCTGATATGCATGGAAACGGTCGATTATCTCCTAAAGTAAGATAGCTGTCGAAAAATCAGAAGACACAAACGTTTTAGGACTATTACAAAAAAGAAAATTTAAATATACAGGATCAGTCGAAAAGTTGTCTTACGAGACAATGTTGCTTCTTCTTTATCGGGACACCCTGTATATTATTCCATATTTCAATTCTTCTCGAAATTCTAAACAAGATTCATATATCACATCATGCGCCTAAGTTTAACCGTTTTCGAGATGTCGAACTTTGAAAATCAATTTTTTATAAATTATAGAAAAATATTTTATTCTGTATCTTATGATTTTTCCATAGCTATCTTACTTTTGGAGAAAATTGATCGTGCATATCGGGGACACTGTATACAGGGTGTTTTTAAATGAAGTAGCAAAAATGGTACCGGTGAATGTAGAGCCAAAAATAAGAGGATTGAAGGAAAAATACCTTACATGAAAGTTGCACCCCTGAGACGATATACCCTCTTAAAGGAGGGGATTGAAATTCTCATTTTAATTTTTTTTCTTTAACATGGGGAATGCTAGTGACACGAAACTTGGTATGAGCATCCTACTAATAAAGAGACAACTTTTCAATATGTATTCAATCATTAGCGTATTTTATAAAGGTGTGAAACAGTCAATTCCATTGCAATATTTTATTAGAAATTTTTTATATGAAGCAAATTATTTAAAAATATTTATTGAGAACACTGATTTTTTACCTCTTGTAATTTTTCGATAAAACCGATAGTTTTCTAGTAAAAAAATTAAATACGTCATCGTTCACTAAAGGGGTAATTGCGAAACTTTGTAAAAATAAAGTAGGCGGATGTCATAACAAATAAATTGTTATTTATCATATTAATAAATTGACACTTTCTGTCAATAAGCTGGTAATTTAATAATAACATTAAGAATAATTTGCTATTAATTAATGAAAAATGTTTGATAACTTATGACTATGGGACATGTATTAGATAAAGTTATTTATCTGAAATAAAATTTAATACAAACGAAAAACACAAACGAAAAAACGAAATATGCAAAATTAAATTTAAAGAATATTCTCCAAACAATTTGCATTTTGTTGTAAGCATAACCTAATACGTAAGTTGAAGTTATCACGCACTCGCACAAACAGTTCTTGGTTCCAGTATAGCTTCCTCAGTTTCAACAATTCGGATATTACGCCTTCTTATATATATCTTTGGTGGTATATTCTTACTGCAGCGTTACTATTTTTTCTGGATTCGAAAAACACGTGGAGGATGTCGAAATATTTGTCATTGGTATAAATATTATTTGCCATAATTAATCTGATAATAAATTAATCAATTGGTACTAATTATTGGTTGACAGAAAGTGTCAATTTATTAATATGATAAATAACAATTCATTTGTTATGACATCCGCCTACTTTATTTTTACAAATTTTCGCAATTACCCCCTTAGTGAACGATAACGCATCTAATTTTCTTACTAGACTATCGGTTTTATCGAAAAATTACATGAGGTAAAAAAAGTTGCGCAATAAATCATTTTTCCAAATAAATATTTTTAAATAAATAATTTGCTACATATAAAAATTTCTAATAAAATATTCCAAAGTGGTTGACTGTTTCACTCCTTTATAAAATAAGCCAATGATCGAACAAACATAGAAAAGCTGTCTCTTTATTAGTAGGATGCTCATACCACGTTTCGTGTCTCTAGCATTCCCCATGTTAAAGAAAAAAATTAAAATGAGAATTTCAATCCCCTCCTTTAAGAGGGTATATCGTCTCAGGGGTGCAACTTTCATGTAAGGTGTTTTTCCTTCAATCCTCTTATTTTTGGCTCTACATTCATTCACTGGTACCATTTTTGCTACTTCATTTAAAAACACTATGTATATAACGTGGAAAACTTTTTGAACCTTTTGTTTAGTGGTATAGTATATTTCATTTTCATTTTACCTTGCCACGTACCACATTCTCTGTTAAAATTAATATTACCCTGACATACTTTACAAATAAAAAATGCAAGCATATTTCAAATTTGAAATGAAAATGAGTAATGATAATGAATTATTTAAAGAAAAGTACTGTAGGAATTGTTGTTGTTAATTCGAATTTGGAACCTTACAGTTGAACGTTCCGTTCCAATGAAGGCAAGTTCGGTATATGTTTTGTTCTTTTTTAATTGTAATACAGATTGTAGTATAACAACCCTAGGTTCGACAGAAAATAAGTAAACGTAGTTGTGGCCAAAAATATGTGATCGTCATAAGGACTACCTACGTTGTGTGTATTTACTTTTTTATTGACCGGAAGGCGCTGGCTACTAACTTTGTAGAGGGGATGTATGGTTTAATTTTATAAAACAAAGACAGAGTAAATACACCTAACTTTATTACAACAGTCCTCAAATTAAACATGTGACAAACAGAAAGAACAAAAACATTAACAACCATTTAACATAAAATGAGAGTGCCAGGCTCACCTAGAGCTCCTGCGGGGAAAGAGCATGGCAGAGAAACCCACGATCGTTGCTCTCACCACCCAAATATAAATACAAAACAACCGCTAACCAAAGGAATAAATTAAGATCCTTTGCTAATGATAATCAAAATTGGACTTATTTAATGTGTCACTAAATGTCATCTCACTCAAGTCTGACATACACACTTCCAAGTAAAACTGAAGAGGTTTTAGTAACAATAATAGCAACAACAACAACAATAATAATAATAATAGCAATAATAATAGGGAAGGTACTGGAGTCCCATAATACGGGAGGCTATCCAGCTAAAGTTGAGATTTCGGGAGAACAACAACAATAATAACAATAATAATAATCATGGGTGAAAATGTTAGTAAATTCAACAAAGCTCTTACATACGTATGACATAAAGTGAGCACAAGAAATCAAAGAACAACGTAATCATGATAAAACAAGTTAAATGTGAAACAAAGAAGTCGTTAATGCAATATCTGGGCAGTCACGACAATATACATATTTTAACATGTAATAAATAATGAGCAATCTTTAATAATAATTGTAACAATTTTATCTTAGAAAAATATACGCCCCTGAGCGTAAGACAATGAAGGCTAAACATATACAGAATTATTATCATGAAACATCTATATTTTACGTATAACGTAATCGTGGCAAAAACAAGTTAGATGTGAAACAAAGAAGTCGTTATTGTAATGTCTGGCAATCAGGACCATATATATATTTTTAACACGAAATAAATATTGGGCAATCTTTAAGTATAATTATAACAATTTTACCTTGGAAAAATATATGCCCTTGAGCATAAAGCAATGGAAGCTAAACATACAAAGAATTATTATCATGAAACATCTATAACCATCACAATCATAAGATTACATAGAACAATTAACAACAAAGTACTTAAAGAATATTACCTGCTAACTAATAACACTTTAACCAATTAACTTTTCACTGCTTTGACACACTGCCCGCCAATCGTCTTGCTACCAATCTGCACACTGTTCTCACTTCAACTGCCTATCTTCAACTATTTAGGCTTCCTTCCAGAATTTCCTACCTAAGTGCCTGTTTTTTGTGCTTCCTTCTATCGACCGTTAATATTACTTTTTCATTGTTATACAACACCTATGTAACAGGTGACGTCGATGTTGATAAGATAAGTACGGTTTTACACAAGATGAAAAGACGAAGAGCTATATCTACAGCATCTAGATGTCAGTACAGACCTACTTTATTGTCCATAGCCGATAATTATATGGAAATATTTGTTCTTTGAAAGTGTCCATAGAAGGATTTAGATGTCTTGAACGGTTTCACTGTTAAAAAACTTTTTTTTTAATTTTATCGATTTTTGCATTTTTCTCATAAATGACTATAGACCTACAATCGTAGATGACATTTTTATAGAAAATTGAATTTAGTATAAAAAAGTCCTCAGTAAAGCTGTAAGTTATTACTTCATGAGATAAATAGATTCAATCGTGTGAAAACTTAAAAAACCCTTTATAGAATATTTGAAATTGCAGATAGAACTATAATTAGAGATGAGATAATTTAATTAAAAAAGAAATGTAGGTTTACGTGTTAAACGAATAGGAAAATTTTAAAATAAAATAGCGAGTACTAAAAGTTAAAATTAAGAACTGAAATTTGGTAAAATTTTATTTCCAATTTTTTGAACAATATTTCGTCAATGGAGCAACAAAAAAAATGTACGTTTCAAACAAAGCACCCTAATTTCGCTCACCTCAACACATTAGGGCGACCTCGCAATAATTGATATTTTCTGCCTAAGTGATTTTCTTTTTCTTTGATTAAAGTTGCATATTTTTCAGAAATTTGATAGCGAGAGCAAAGAGGTTATATGTAACGTTTGCAGAAGAAAGTTAAACGCAGCATTCGAATTTAAGTCAACTTGTCTGAAGACCGATTACACAATTTTTCCATATGTGGAATGTGAAAAAATGTTACTGCTCGATATAGGAGATGCGTATACGAAGGAAAAGACAAGTGAGTCAATGGATATTTTAGATGGTCAGAGAATATGTCGATTGTGTATGGAGCCAGTAGAAAGTGAGTTTAGGTGCATACGCGAAGAGGAACTTGAAGCTATCAATAAATTGGTTCCTGAAATGGTATTAATGATATTAAATAGTTACATTTTTCGCAATTTAATTAAACCACTTTGCAGAATATAAATATCATCAAAGATCCCGTTGTGTGTAAGGAATGCTTTGATTCTGTGTGCACCCACAACAGTTTCCTAAAAAATTGCTCGGAAGTACAGGAAAAAATTGGAGGTATTTTTAATAGCGCAGCAACAGAGAGTCGGATAGATACGTCACCAGCTGATTTATTCGTTAAGACTGAAAACCAGGACAAGGAATTTGATATCAACGAGATGGAAATGTCAATCAAAGCTGAAAGTATCGACATAAAATCGGAAGATGAAGAAAGGAGGTAAGAGAGGACTATTTTGACAAATTTATAAGGTAACCGCGTAACTCCAGATCTTATTTAATTTTGCATCTCTTGCATTAATTTCTTGTACTTCTGATAGTTTTCGCAAAATTAATTATTTTAAACATATCATTAACCCTTTCGCTGCGCATTACGTCTGAAAGTAGCTACCGCGCCGTGCGCGAAAGTTTATCGCGTGCGAATATGTACGTCTGGAGCAGTTAGACCACTTATAGTTTTACATTATGTTGTGTTAAATTACGATTTACGATAAATTTTACGAGTTTATTTTGAATAAAATACAGTATATGTGCTAAATAGAAACTGAAAGAAACATGAACAATCTTGGTATTATTACCAGTACCTCTTTCCATAAAAATATTTGTCACAATCGGTATAAGCTGGCCCGCAAAAATTCGCCTTACCAATTGCAATAACCGAGTCACTGATTCGCATGGTTGCGAATATATACGGTTTGAGCAGCCTGATCCAATTTAACTATTCATGCGAATTAATCCGTCTGGAGCAGTTTGAGCCCTATAAATTTTTAGCGAATATGTACGTCTGGAGCAGTGAAAGGGTTAATTGTCGTCAAGAATTTGATTTGTATGATAATAAAATTGAAATAATGCCCTGTGGAGTTCAGAAACTTGCATGATTGCATTTTCAATAACCTATCACCCCCTAGAATTAACACCTAATATTAGAAAATACCCTGTATATGTAATGTTTTCAGCGGCTCGCTACTGCAGAGCTCCAATCGTGGATCATTGGAGAAGAGTGACCTTAGAGATGCAGAAGATGATGGATACAAACATGAGAATAAATCGACAAGCGAATGTAATACGAAAGTCGAGCAGGACCACAAAGTATTTTACAAATGTGATAAATGTATTTACGAAACTAGAAGCGACAGTCGTTTTATAGCACATCGTAGGAGATACGAGAACGATTCGGAAGCATATAAATGTGAATCGTGCGAGTATGAAACTGAAAATAAAAAATTTTTTCAGAAGAACCGGCTGATGCATAAACATTCTTCGGAAATGCGTATGCATCGATGCGGATCATGTAATTACGAGACAAAGTGCAGATGTGAGCTTGCTAAGCATCAGGCGAAACACAAAAGCGCATCTGAAGGACGATTGTACAAGTGCGACTTTTGTGATTTTAAAACAAAGCGGGAATTCAGTTTTGAAAGTCATATAAAACACAAAAACTCAAACAATTGTGTAGGATGTGACTTTAAAACCACATACACCGCATTACCGAATAAGGACACTTCACAACTGCCCGTTTATAAATGTAATAGTTGCACATATGAATCAAAGAATAGGCCAAATTTTACCAGACATCAGTTGATACATAAAGATTCCTCGCAGGTGCAAATGTACTGGTGTAACAACTGCGATTTTGAAACTAAATACAAGGGTTGTATCAAAAAGCACCAACTGAAACACAAAGATCCTTCACAGGTTCAAACGTACAGGTGTAACGACTGTGATTACAAAACTATATACAAGAGTTATATCACAAAACATCAACTGAAGCATAAAGATCCTTCGCTGGTTCAAATGTACAAGTGTAACGACTGCGATTACAGAACTATATCCACGGGATATTTTACAAAGCACCAACTGATACATAAAGATCCTTCGCAGGTGCAAATGTACAAGTGTAACGACTGCAATTATGAATCTAAACACAAGAGGAATATCAAACGGCATGAACTGAAGCATAAAGATCCTTCCCAGGTCAAAATGTACAGGTGTAACAACTGCGATTACGAAAGTAGATACAAGGATGATTTAAAACATCATCAACTGAAGCATAAAGATCCTTTGCAGGTTCAAATGTACAAGTGTAATGACTGCAATTATGAATGTAAATATAAGCATGATATCAAACGGCATGAACTGAAACATAAAGATCCTTCACAGGTCAAAATGTACAGATGTAACAACTGCGATTACGAAAGTAGATACAAGGATGATTTAAAACATCATCAACTGAAACACAAAGATCCTTCGCAGGTTCAAACGTACAGGTGTAACGACTGTGATTACAAAACTATATACAAGAGTTATATCAAACAACATCAACTGAAGCATAAAGATCCTTCGCAGGTTCAAATGTACAAGTGTAATGACTGCGATTACAAAACTGTATCCAGGGGATATTTCAGAAAGCATCAATTGAAACATAAAGATCCTTCGCAGGTGCAAATGTACAAGTGTAACGACTGCAATTATGAATCTAAGTACAGGAGGAATATTAAACGGCATGAACTGAAGCATAAAGATCCTTCGCAGGTTCAAACGTACCGGTGTAACGACTGCAATTATGAATGTAAATATAAGAATGCTATCAAACGGCATGAACTGACACATAGGGAAGGTGTACAGAGACGAGACAAATGATTTTGGACTAGTGCTTTTGTAACAATGCATTAAAATGAATACTTTGTAATATGCACCTGCTTTTTTCTATGTTTAAAGATGTATCTTTTTCATTATCAATGTTCAGGAGAATGTTAAATGTGTACATGTGTATTTTAAACAACTGCAAAAAAATTAGGAACAAAATAAATATGCATTGGTTTTCTTAATAAAAAATGGTTGAGAACTGCTGACTTGGCCGTGGTATTTATGCGTTGAGAGATCAACTTTTCCGTGTTGCCGATGTCGTATAGACTTGTAAACTCAACTCTTTAATGAACTAAGAAGAAATAAATAAATTATGTATAGGTTTAGATGTAGGAAATTTTGAAATATTTTTATAAGAATGTTCAAAGCCTTCTTCTCTTGCCATTCCTATGCAGGGGTGGTTTTTAGCAATACTATCCACCCTGTTTTTCACTTCTAGCTTAGAAACTCGATATTCGGTTGTCCACATGATTTTCGAGACAAGCGTTTCGGTAAACCGGAAAGCAGAGTGGGAAGTTTTTTATTTTATTTAAATTATATTTGTATCAAATCAATTCACCCTTCCAGCCTGATATTCATTATTTGTCCTGTCCTAAATTGACTATTGGCTTGACAGGCTGTCGGCTAATCGAATTTTGCAGTAACCACCTTTATTTTCTATGTTTAAATAAGGGTTTATTTGATACATTTATTTTTTTGACCTCTTTAATTTTTATAAGTACACATTTAATATTAACCCTGCATCCTATGTAATTTATAATTTTCTTTTGATTTTTCGTAATTTGTGTAGAGGGGGCAGGGTTACAAGTGCAAAGAAACGTTATTGTACTAACGCTGTTCCCTATTATAGTTTATTAGTATTATTTTAAGGCCTAAATATAAATTTAAATCCTTAGCTTTTATTGTGCACTATTACATGATTATACAGATATATGGATGAATTAAATATAATTTCAGTTTTTCTTATTTCCGGAATCTTATTTGTGGAAATGTGAAATGGGCGGTGACTATGAGATGCCTTTTTTATAGCCATCCTTCTCTATCGCACAGATTTCTATGACTTACTTTATCGCTCTCACTTAACGGCCGATGAACCATGGTGACTTTCCGACCCTGTATATGTAGGATTAAATAAATTGCAAAGAATTTCTTTGCATATGCATTACACTGTATGCATCAGATGTTNTTTATAAGTACACATTTAATATTAACCCTGCATCCTATGTAATTTATAATTTTCTTTTGATTTTTCGTAATTTGTGTAGAGGGGGCAGGGTTACAAGTGCAAAGAAACGTTATTGTACTAACGCTGTTCCCTATTATAGTTTATTAGTATTATTTTAAGGCCTAAATATAAATTCAAATCCTTAGCTTTTATTGTGCACTATTATATGATTATACAGATATATGGATGAATTAAATATAATTTCGGTTTTTCTTATTTCCGGAATCTTATTTGTGGAAATGTGAAATGGACGGTGACTATGAGACGCCTTCATTATAGCCATCCTTCTCTATCGCACAGATTTCTATGACTTACTTTATCGCTCTCACTTAACGGCCGATGAACCATGGTGACTTTCCGACCCTGTATATGTAGGATTAAATAAATTGCATAGAATTTCTTTGCATATGCATTACACTGTATGAATCNTTTCGGTTTTTCTTATTTCCGGAATCTTATTTGTGGAAATGTGAAATGGGCGGTGACTATGAGATGCCTTTTTTATAGCCATCCTTCTCTATCGCACAGATTTCTATGACTTACTTTATCGCTCTCACTTAACGGCCGATGAACCATGGTGACTTTCCGACCCTGTATATGTAGGATTAAATAAATTGCATAGAATTTCTTTGCATATGCATTACACTGTATGAATCAGAAGTTTGTTTTATCGACTATTCCCATACTCTATCACAAAGTCTCTAAGGAAAATAAAAGTTACCTATTTATTTTATTTATTTATTTATTAAAAGACGGAGCCCTTTAGTTTTGTTTGTGTTTACTAAGGTTTTACTTTGTTCTTTTCCGGTACATGAAAATCTGCAAACTAATCCCTACCACAAAGAATAAAAAGGGTCACCCTTGTACCGTGGAGAGTTCTGGCAGAAGAACAGCCACCAAATTTTGATAAATGCAAACCGGGTTTTAAATTTTTCAGACATTCAACAATTTATAGGTGATACCAGCCCTGTCTTTGTCTCGGCTTAACTCTACATGCTTCAATCGATTTTAACAATTATGTAAAAGTTATACGTCTTTATGTCTTACATAATGATTAAACTTAAACTGATTATACAGGGTGGCATAAAAGTATGGAAACCCCTGAATAACTCGTCAGGAGTGTATTTTCTTGTAAAATAGTAAATATAAAAGTTTTAGGATTTTTCTCTGGCTATTCAATGGCGTCCTTGTATTCTACCTTGACCTTGACCTTCGAGGTCATTTCAAGGTCAAAATTATTTTTTCAAACGGGAACTCCTATTTTTTATTGCGGATTTGAAAGGAGCAGGAAATTTTACGTCCAAACATGGTATTGACCATAACTTTGGCATTGACCTTACTCTTTCCAAATCCGCAATAAAAAATAGGGGTTCGCATTTAAAAAACTTAACTTGAACTTCAAATGACCTTAAAGGTCAAAGTCAAGGTCAAATCCAAGATCACCATCGTAAATTGAAAACTACTTAATACAGACAATGCAAAGGTAATTATGTGCAAAGCGAATTCAAGAACAAAAAAAAACAGGTTTTTCAGATGTAAACCAACAGAGCCATGTTCTGACGAACCGGATTAGTGATGTGTACGAGAAAAATTGTTACAATTTTTTCCAGTAATCCGTAGTCATAGTGCAAGAATTACGGAGGAGACTGTACCATTCTTGTGGTTCCGATAACAGAAGTGGAAGAAGAACAATAACTTTATTCGATGTTTTCTTTGAGGTTAAACAACGAACACAAGTTACAGTTCGACATTTACATTTCAAAGAAAATTGTTGCAATGACTGGTGTTCAAAAAACTTCGTGTAAGCTTTGCCTCAAAACTGTAACCGTTAAAGGTTTTGAGGTAATAGACAACGTTACTAGAAATATTTTGGATGTTCTTTTGCTGAAATTGGTAAGTCGGTGATAGATATGCATCAGTTCGGGGTCGCTGATATGTATGGAAACGGTCGGTTGTCTCCAAAATAAGATAGCTATAAAAAAAATCATAAGACACGTTTTCTTAAAGCTATCACTATAAAGAAAAGTTATGACGAAACAAAGTTGCTTTTTCGTTATCAGAATACCCTGTATATTATTCCATATTTCAATTCTTCTCGAAATTCTAAACAAAATTTATTTAACACATCATGTACCTAAACTTAACCGTTTTCAAGGTATCGAACTTTGAAAATCATTTTCTTATGAATTATACAAAAATATTTTAGCAGCAATGCAACGGTTTTCATCGCCTACTGAACTCAAAAATTTTAAATCCGTGACGCAAACCGAAACATACAGACCTGCAAATATTTCCATTTTTCTCAAGAAAGGCTTTCTCTAGGCGATTTTCTCAAGAGACAATTGTTTTTCTTTTTTAATAAAAGGACCTTTTTATTGTTGCTGTACGTTTAAAAAAAATACGGCCACTGTAAACGTTTTGACCGCTAAAAGGGGGAAGTAACCGGAGAAAACTATCACCCAGTATATCGATTTGACTAAAACTTTAAGAAATAATACGCCACAATAGTCCAAATAAATGTGCCAAATTTTAACGCGATCGGTAAAAGTAAATTAAATTAGTTTTATTCTTGACAACTTTGAAGGCCTGTAACTAAAACCAAAAATTTTTTATTTAATTTTCCTTCGTAGGTCAAACGTTGTCGGTGAAATTTGCGGACACCCTGTATTTTTACGCAAAATATTCATATTTTATTTATATTTAAATTTAAACACTGTATCTCGGAAACTGTGCATATTTCGACCTGCGTTTATAGGAACTTTTTTTTTACAAAATAACTTCGGCAACCACCCCCTAAAATATTTCGCACTTTCTTACAAACACCCTGTATAGGAATTGTCGTTTTGGCACGTTGCTTAAACCTTGTTTGTGCTATGTTTCATAAACCTATGACGTCATCGAAATTATTATTTAAATAGCGCTACCTATTTTTTTAGGCATAAAAGGATAGTCCTTTTGAAGGGAAATCCTTTGACTTTACTTTGACAGATGCAAAATATCACGTGGATAATGGTGTTCCAGCAGACAGTATTTGCCGGGAGAAATTACTTGCATGAAATTGTTCCAAGTAGGTGAATAGGTCGAAGAGGACCATTGAGTGGCCACCACGTTCGCCCGATTTAACTCCCCTAGATCATTTCTTGTGGGGCTATTTAAAAAGCAGAGTTGGTAGACGCATAAGAGAAGAAATTAGTCGGATACCACCAGAGGCAATTCAAAATACCACGGATGAATTCGAACATCGACTCGCCCATTGCCCGACTGTTAATTTCTTTACATTCTTTACATTAAATTAATTAATACATTTGTCTGTTTTTTTTTTCACGNTACCACGGATGAATTCGAACATCGACTCGCCCATTGCCCGACTGTTAATTTCTTTACATTCTTTACATTAAATTAATTAATACATTTGTCTGTTTTTTTTTTCACGCCTGTTAAAGGAAAGTAGAACAAACCCTATATCGACGCATTTCCTTTCAACAGGGCTATCCTTTTATGCCTAAAAAATTAGGTAGTGCTATTCAAAAAAAATGTCGATGACGTCATAGGTTCATGAAACATTGCGCAAAGAAGGTTTAAGCAACGTGATATAAGGACAATTCTTATGTACTAATTGACGTATTTTAGCGTTTTTGTGAAAACGCAACACAAAATAAAATACGAATTTTTTGCGTTACTTCTGGGATGCGCTGTACATCTCAATTCGGACACCTCAACACATCAGAGCGACATAACAATAACTGATATTTTCTACCAATCGTTTTCTTTCTCTTTGGTTAAAGTTGCATATATTTTAGAAATTGGATAGCGAGGGCAAAGATGTTATATGTAACGTTTGCAGAAGCAAGTTAAACACAGCATTCGAATTTAAGTCAACTTGTTTGAAGAACGATTACGCAATTATTCCGTATGTGGATTGTGAAAAAATGTTACAGCTCAATATAAGAGACGTGTATACGAAGGAAAAGACAAGCAAGTCAATGGATATTTCAGATAGTCGGAGAATATGTCGATTGTGTATGGAGCCAGTAGAAAGTGAGTTTAGGAGCATACGTGAAGAGGAACTTGAAGCTATCGAGAAATTGGCTCCTGAAATGGTATCAATGATATTAAATAGTTACATTTTTGGCAATTTAATGAAACTACTTTGCAGAATATAAATATCATCAAAGATCCCGTTGTATGTAAGGAATGCTTTGATTCTGTATGCACCCACAACAGTTTCCTGAAAAATTGCTTGGAAGTACAGGAAAAAATTGGAGGTATTTTTAATAGCGCAGCAACAGAGAGTCGGATAGATACGTCACCAGCTGATTTATTCGTTAAGATTGAAAACCAGGACATAGAATTCGATATCAACAAGATGGAAATGTCAATCAAAACTGAAAGTATCGACATAAAATCTGAAGATGAGGAAAGCAGGTAAGAGAAGACTTTTAACAATAATTTTACTAGGTAATAGTACATTTTGCCTTTCTTGCATTAATTGCCTGTATTTCTGAAGGTTTCCGCATAATTATTTTATTATTTTTAACATATCTTCAATAAAAATATTACTAATTGTCATCAAGAATTTGATTTATGTG